TTCGGTAGAACTTTTCCCCCATTTCCCATCGATGAAACGTAGTCCAAAAGCCTGCAGGAGCGGTCACTTTTTGTCCAAAAGAAAAAGGCTAAAAAATTGCATTCCTCCCTCCTTTTCGGTCCTTCTTTGTGCATCTCTCACACCACTGCTACTTGCAAGGACAATAAAGAGCACACACGCAAGTACTATTGCTGTACGTACCTTTCGAACCGGCTTTAGCACGAATTTACAGGATCAGTCACACTTAATTTTGCACAGATTTTCACACAAACCCAACGTCTCCGACAAAAAATTTCACAAATAAAAGCTGTAAATTGCTCACTTTACGGTAAATAACGCGACAAACACTCTTCCAAAAGTATACACGCGAAGAAACTTCAACGGCGCGGTTTCAACAGACCATCAGAGGATCAATCGAATAACACCAAAAAAAAATTGGATACTAGCTCAGTGCTCGCTCACTGTCTGGTGGCTGAACGGGAGAGGGAGAGAGAGAAAAACGAACGCGAGAACGACAAAAGCGTCGCCGTGCTAACTGACGCAAGAAATAGACGCGCTGCGGCGCTTTCTACAAATCTCGCGCATTATTTGAAAAGGATTCATTGCCTTATTCCTTGTTCAGAATAACGAGGCTGAATTTATCTCGGAATTTATATTATAGTCCGTTCAGACTACAGAGTTATAACATGTTATAGCGATATCTTGATGATGGTTTCTGTGTTGCAATTATTTGACAACCGTTATAACTAAAAACACTTTAAACACTTAAACGCTGTCCAGACTGGAGAGTTATAACAACAATAACAGTTATAACAATCAATACGAAACTAACGATTTTAAATTGGCTCACCACTTTAGTAGCCTATTGGTCCCAAGCAAACGATTAACGTACCCTATTCTAGTTGAAATTCTATTACTACACTATGTTTGTTTTGATTCGCTATGAAAGTTTGACAGATAACATCAGGGGTGTGTGGATTCATGCAGAACATGCAGGGGTGAGTGAAATAGCTTGGGACTGCTTGGGACCGTTGTTCTGGTACTGAGTGAGCCAAAAATAATAATGATTTTCTTCGGGACCCAGTAGTCTTAGAGTTACCTCTATGGTTATAACATGTTATAACGGTTGTCAACTAATTGCAACACAGAAACCACCATCAAGATAGCGCTATAACATGTTATAACTCTGTAGTCTGAACGTACTATTATAAAGTGTTTTTAGTTATAACATGTTATAACTCGCCAGTCTGAACAAGGCATTATAGCATAGAGGTAACTCTAAAACGCTGTCCAGACTGGAGAGTTATAACATGTTATAACGGTTGTCAAATAATTGCAACACAGAAACCACCATCAAGATAGCGCTATAACATGTTATAACTCTGTAGTCTGAACGTACTATAAAACGCTGTCCAGACTGGAGAGTTATAACATGTTATAACGGTTGTCAAATAATTGCTACACAGAAACCACCATCAAGATAGCGCTATAACATGTTATAACTCTGTAGTCTGAACGTACTATAATAGTACGTTCAGACTACAGAGTTATAACACGTTATAGCGCTTTCTTGATGGTGGTTTCTGTGTTGTAATTAGTTGACAACCGTTATAACATGTTATAACTCTCCAGTCTGGACAGCGTTTAATAGTACGTTCAGACTACAGAGTTATAACATGTTATAGCGCTATCTTGATGGTGGTTTCTGTGTTGCAATTAGTTGACAACCGTTATAACATGTTATAACTCTCCAGTCTGGACAGCGTTTAATAGTACGTTCAGACTACAGAGTTATAACATGTTATAGCGCTATCTTGATGGTGGTTTCTGTGTTGCAATTATTTGACAACCGTTATAACATGTTATAACTCTCCAGTCTGGACACTGTTTAAGACTAGAAGGTCCCGAAATAACGTGCTCAACTTTTTGGCTCAGCTCTGGTACTCTCTTCGGTCCCAAGCTAATCGATTTACCCCTCGAAACATAGGAAAAACCAATAACCCCTCATTTTATCTGTCAAACTTTCATAGCGAATCAAAACAAACATTTCGTAGTACTAGAATTTCGACTAGAATGGGGTACATTAATCGTTTGCTTGGGACCAATAGGCTAGTCAAGTAGTGAGCCAATTTTAAATCGTTAGTTTCGTATTGATTGTTGATTATAGTACGTTCAGACTACAGAGTTAAAACATGTTATAGCGCTATCTTGATGGTGGTTTCGGTGTTGTAATTAGTTGACAACCCTTATAACATGTTATAACTCTCCAGTCTGGACAGCGTTTTAGAGACATCTCAAAATTGGAACAATCGATTATCGGTCAAAGTCATATAGGAAAAGTTATTCCAATGAGCAGAAGACCTGTCAAATGGATAAGATGTCGCCATAGAGGTAACTCTAAGACCACTGGGTCCCGAAGAAAATCATTATTAGTTTTTGGCTCACTCAGTACCAGAACAACGGTCCCAAGCAGTCCCAAGCTATTTCACTCACCCCTGCATGTTCTGCATGAATCCACACACCCCTGATGTTATCTGTCAAACTTTCATAGCGAATCAAAACAAACATAGTGTAGTAATAGAATTTCAACTAGAATAGGGTACGTTAATCGTTTGCTTGGGACCAATAGGCTACTAAAGTGGTGAGCCAATTTAAAATCGTTAGTTTCGTATTGATTGTTGATGTCGCTCTTTACCCAATTCAGTCTCTTTAGTTCAGACTATAGAGTTCCCGACAAACGATTTCGTTAAATTTCTTTAATTTTCGATATATCGTTGACATTTATATAGAAAATCGATAACGATCGTCACCATTTCACGAAGAAATTTTAAGATAGGGAAGAGCGCTACTTCGTCGTAATCGCCCATTTCCGTTCTATTGATCAGAAAAGATCAATAATATCAATGTTGGTTGGAAATGCTAACATGAAGCTTTAGTGTGATGATTTATTAGCTAGAGAATGATCTTTAGAAGAGGGTAGGTGGATAGTTCCGTTAGAGTACGGCAGTATGAAAATTGAATAGAATTTGAAAATGAGCGAAGGGCCATTAATGCGACAGTTTTTCAAGATAGACGCACATTTTTGCCTAACCCGTACGATGTACGCGGGGACTTGAAGTATGTCTCCAAGTCCACAGGCAAAAATGTGCGTCCCTCTTGTTGCTCATAAACTGACTGTGGCTGTGGAATAGTTCTAGCGACGTTTTTCATCACTACCTAAAGCCCCACGTTGCGAGAGCATTTCGAGACATACTTCAAGTCCCCGCGTACATCGTACGGGTTAGGCAAATTTTACTCATCACTGAGTTCCTGCATTTTTGGCGATTATGAGTGAACTAAACTCAAATTTGTGTCGTTCTCATTCGCCGTGTGGCAACGTCAACCAACAGATATTGACTCCGGTATCAATCAGGTAAAATTCCTTCAGTTTTTTATGATTTATCCTAATTTTATTGAAAAAAATATTGCAGGAATACTTCTGGAGCAAGCTAGAAGCTGCTTATACGGGGTGATAAATCCCAATTTAAAGAAAATTTTGAAGATCCAGAACCTATGCAGTCAATCACTGTGCAGACTGACAGCTGCAAGTATTGAGCATATTACAGTTGGTATGCGGGAAATGGATCCGAATTTGAAAGAAGAGGCGATTAACGGTGGTATTCCGATAAGCGACGTCTACGGCATGCGATATGCAAAAAGCCCTGATAAGTTCAAGTTCTTAGAAGGGGATGTGATGTGCTAATTAGATTTAGCTGAAATAATCCGAACCCAAGGAGTTCAAAAGTTCATTCGTCCAAACAAAAAACAGAGTAAAAGCAATCAGCGAACTAGGTTCAACCATCAAAATATCCCATTCGATAGCGACGATGTTAAGACCCCGGCCGAGATGTACAGCAGTATGCTGCATCAGAAAATCCTGTTACACTTTGTTTCTCAGTAAGTAATTATAGAAAAATTTTATAAGTCCCGTGATGCACCCTTATTCCAAACAGCTCCGTACGCGCAAATCAAAACACGGAATATCAAACCAATTTGACATCAGTGATTTAGTTTTACGTACACCACCACCCCACAATTGAGTTGTTTAGGGGTATTGAGGTAAATACGTATTCGTTATTTGCATTAAAAATGGAACCAAAATCCAAAGTTTCAACAATTGGGTTGTTTAACTTCAAAAAATAAACCGATTTTTATACATCATCTGATAGAGCTTCGTTTTCTGAGCACAACGGTATTTTTATCGATCTCGTAGACATTCATCTCGATTTTTTAAATCAAGATTTAAATTTTTCATGGTTGACACTACATCCATATAGAGGTAACTCTAAAACCAGAAGGTCCCGAAGAAACGAGCTCACCTCTGGTACTATCTTCGGTCCCAAGCTAATCGATTCACCCTTCGAAACATAGGAATATCCACAAACCCCTCATTTTATCTGTCAAACTTTCATGGCGAATCAAAACAAGTACTGGAATTTATACTAGAATGGGGTACGTTAGTCGATTTGCTTGGGACCAATAGGCTAGTCAAGTAGTGAGCCAAATTAAAATCGTTAGTTTCGTATTGATTGTTGCTAAATCTATTCGGTGACAGCTCGCTCCCCCATAAAAAGTCCCACCAAGGGGCGCTAAGTTGGTGATTTTCGCTAATGTAATCGTAGTTATTTAAAATAGTTCCACCACACAACATCAAATAAAAATGTTTCTGTATGACAAACACGTTCAGACATAAATGAGAATATGGGTGTATATCTTCACTGTAACAACTACGGGTAATCATCGAAAGCACCTGCATTTTACTCAGGCACTTTTGAGCAAACTGCAATCACTCTCTCATACTCGAAATGTGCCACGACCAAATTGGCACAACGATGCCCCATACGCTATCTGACCAAAGCGCAGGGAAAATTGTTTTCCTGGAAATTTAATCCTCAAACATGTTTAAAAGACGGGCCAAGTGGACTGTGATATAAAAAATAAAAGTAAATCTCTCCATTGCGTTGTTTGTAATACTAATGGAAGTTGCTTCATTTCTATTTGTTCGGTTGCGCGAAACGAGAAAATCGCATGTTCGATTTAAAATCACTGTAGGTAGCTCTTTTCGATAAGGCCTATTATGCGCGTTGTAACATCATGTCCAAAAGTTTATTAAACCTTAACGTGTAAGAGGTTCCATTTTGTTTCAAATATTTTACGCGTGTACATTTTATCGTTGAACGAATTCACATTCACTGTCGCAGTTCGTCGCTTTTGGGGACTAGATAAGTGTTTTTCTTTTGTTCCTCGATGATCATAAAATTCTGCTATGTTTAACTTTTCTTGTTCTAATCTTGTGTCTAGATCAATTGTAGTGTTAGAAAATTGGATATAAAGTGAGAAATTTGAGAAAAGATTGGGAATTCATCGGATATTGAAGATTGTGCTATTTGAGTTAGAAATGTGTTGTAACTTTTCGGTAATCCAGCAAATGTGCATTATCTAGTATTTACTTTGAGATGGAACGTAAAACTTAAACCAAAGAAGATCGTAATCACATAGAGCCTAATCTAGGATTTTAACACTGTCGTGGCCTTAGCCAAATAGTGGAGGATGAAGTTTTATAGTGCGCTACTACTATAGAAAAAAAAATACAAAAACAAATTCACACTAAGATGAGAAACTCGACATTCTAAGAAATACCGGATGGAATGTTTTCGTGATGTTGCAGTAAGAAATTAAATATTCTACCGAATGGGCATTTCAGATTTCCGTATAAAAATCCGGTCGCCCTATCCGCAGCAGCTTGAACACATTCGGCAGCAAATATTGCGTATTGAATCCAATCATTGCGCACGCGAAGAACTTGTATGACAGCTCAACGATAATTTTGTTCTTATTCTGTAGCGTATTCTCCGATTGGCGCAGCTCGTTCTTATCACGCCCGAGCAGGAAGCACACAAACGCATAGGAAATAGACTTTCCGAAGGCACGCGTGGCCACGATGCAACAGAGACCCAAAACGGTTCGCAGCAGCAGCATTCCCATCATAGCGTACGATGGCCAGATGACTTCGTACGGAGGTGGATTGGCCGGTGGTCTGAAATCACCGAGCATGTAGTGCAACCAGGCACCGATTTCAAGTCCCGCGCACACGCTAACGGTTAGGGCAGTGTCGCCTCTGGTGGAAGAGAAGAATGATTTAGAAGGCGACCCTAAAACAGAATATTTGCGGACATTACCTTGTTGGCGTCCAAATTCCGGAATCGGGATAAAACACAATCAGCAAAATGGAAACGGCCAACACCGGTATGGGCGACCAGCTACTAGTGACTATGATGTAATCCAACTTGTCTACAATCGGGATCAGCGGAATCATCAATGTCACAACCAATACCAAACCGGCTAAGATGTCCTGAAACATTGGAAACGATTCAACTCAAGAAATTTTAATAATTCGTACAATTATATGCGCCTACCAGCACACTGTGCATTCCCAGATAGACCCTGCTGAAACAGATGACTGCACACCAGATCACCGCGAATGCCAGACCCGCTGGAAGAGAGAAGATATATCTGCAAAAAAACAGTTAGTACTGAACAGGAATTCTATCGTGCTTACCCACCTATCATAAGTGTAGATCAGAACCGAAAAAGGGATCGCCACCGAGACCATTGCATGCGTTGAAGGCATTCCATATTCCAGGCCCCACTTCTTCTGCAATCTGCTTACGGGGAAACCCGGCCTAGGCCATCTAATTATATCCTTCAAACTTTGACCTGCAAATAAAACTGTCTTTAGTATCATTTTTGAACATCATCTCAACTTCCCCTATCCTCGACATACCCACATACATAACCGCCGACCAAACCATGATAACTCTTCGCCCCACAGCGCTATCGATATTCCAGAACCAGAAGGGTATGAACGTTGCGTAGAAGATCTCATCCCCCAGTTCCGTCCCGATGATGAACAAATAATACCAGAACTTGTTAGTCACTCGGTAAGGCTTATCTTTGCCAATCTGGTGCTTATCGCAACCATTTCCGCTGCTGGTGCTGCTGCTGCTACTGCTATCCTCATCCAAACTGGATAAATCGCCATTGGCGACCTGCTGCTGACCTCTCTTTGCCAGCCCAGCCTTGCCGTTTACTTCGCCGTCCCTCACAGAAGAATCGATTTTCCCATCTCGATGCGCATGCAGATACTCAATACCGAAAAACTCCTGAACTTTGACCACCAGTTCGGGGCTTTTTAAATATTCGATGATAGCGGACATAATTCTTCAATCACTCCTCGTCGCAACACAATATATTCTTCAAAATAGGCATCAATTGCACTGTACCCTTCACTTTCAACTAGAGTATGCGTTTGCAATAATTAAGCTGAGATTTATCTCCCCACGAAAAGAAATATTATTTAACAATAATTTATCGAGCCATCATCGGTCGATAGCGCCACCCGCAGACCGAAAAAAAAAAATGAAACGGATTAATCAAAACATCTCGGTTGGATCGGCGAGTGGAATGACAGTTATGCTGGAATCTTTTATGCTCGGATGGGGAGGCATTGGGCGTGAAAGTCGAATGGCTGCATGTTTCCACAAAAATATCCCCCGCTCAACCGACAATCGATAGTCCGACGATTCGATAATCCGGATCTCGTTATCCTAATAAAATTTGTACGGATATTTTGCTTAACGACGTTCGGGGTATCATCATCTAAACAATATTTGTGGAATATTTCTATCATTTGGGTTATCGTTCGTTTATGGTATTTTTTAATTAAGGTAATCAAAAAAGCGTCAAGATTAAAGAGTACAATTAAACACGTATTTTAATGCACTGCACAGTAGACTGATGCAAAGTTTGAAATTTTCGCTACACGGTGCTCAAATTGTTCTGATTAACTTCGCAACATTTGAACTCATTTATTAATTAACTGACTTGGCTCAAACCATTTGAAGTTCATAGGGAAATTACTATGGGAAAACCAAGCTTTTTGCTCACAGTCTCCTAACCATTTCCCATTGCACTGTTAAAAATGAGATTTAAAACCCTGGGGCGACCCCAGCGTAGTGGTTAACATCCATACCTCTCACACCAAAGTCACGAGTTCAAATCTCACCCCCGGACAAGTCACGAATGACCCAAGAGTGTTAAAGTGATTATAATAAAAAAAAAAATAAAAAAAAAATTTGAAACCGTTTGAGCACTGTGAAGCGAAAATTTCAAAATTGTCCTAAGTCTACTGCACGGTGGTTCCAAAGTTAGGGGCAGATCGAGGGGCAGATCACTTGTCCTGCATTTTATGAAAAATAAATAAATGCATTTTTAGCCATAGAAAATGCATTTTCTCAGTGCATTTTTTGTTGCTTGGTGCCAAGGGTAAGTCGCTCTGCCACATTGTGTTAACACTCTCAAAAACACTCTTCGACACACTTAAAACACCCGCAAACACCATTACGTCGCATGATAAGCAAATTTTGACGTAGGACTACGTCTTTAATTTCTATACCGGGGGGTCTTATTAAAAAACAAACAAACATGTAACGAAAAATCCCAAATACGGACGCAACGATAGAGCGCAAACCGAACAAACGAAATATTGCGCATGCTTACATGAGTGAGCTCAATGCTCGGTTGATCGCTCATCATTTCACCAATGAAAGGAAGGGAGGAGAAAAGCAGCGATAATAAAAACGCTTGCCAAATCGTTTTCTTCGTCATTTGCTTTCGAGCAACGGACGGATAAAGGCCAAAACGCAATGTGGGTGGAAGCGGAACGGAAACGGAAAGTTTGACAGTTGTCACTAATGACATCAAGATGCCTAACCGAAGCAGATTTGGATCTAACTAGTTTTCAATCCGACAAGTAGGCTTACTCAGATCGGGCTTTTCCACTGCCGTTGCCGTTCCGCTTCCGCCATCATTGCGCTTGGGCCTTAAGCGTCGGACACCAATGACGTTTATATAAGGTCTAGGCCAAAGGGCTTATTGGTGTTAGTGAAATGTGCAAATGTTTAGTGGTGTTCGTATTTTATTGCAATGTTTTCTTTTTACACGAAACAGCTGTTGGCAGTGACGCATTTCTATCTGTTCTCAGTATGTTGACAGTGACGTATTTCTATCTGTTCGCAGATGTTCAGCAATGTTTACAACATTTTTGCTTCTAACACCAGCAAGCTGCCTGTTGGCCCAGACCTTATATAAATGTCATTGGTTGGACACGACGTATAAGTGGAACAGCACGCACCGCACCAATACGAAGACGAACGACGACGAAAGCACCCACATCGACCGGAGGAAAGGCTTCCCGTAATAGGCAGCGTGACTAGGCCGCCGTCATCCGGTCGGCATCGATTTCCACTGGTGTGGCCACCATTTGAAAAACAACCGGCCCTTTTCAGGGCCATCAATTCAAAAACGGAAAGAGTTAAGAACTAAATGATCAACATATTTGTTCCGTCCACTAACGGTCCTACGTCAAGCTTCCGTTCGTGCCCCTAGGCACAGACTTTTCTACTTTTTTAATCAATTCTGGCACCACTGCAAATACTGTTTACATTCGATTGTTATTTCGAGGTTGAGAAAAAAAACGAGCAAAAAACCGTCGTACCATCCTGCTGGGAAAGAAAAACATTCTGGATCTGGATTGAAATCCAAAGGAAAGGAAATCCGAAATCGGTTGGGATCCACGAAAGGAGCAGCATCAGGAGGAACAGATGCTAACAAAAGGTAAACGTCTCGCAAGAAAACCAAGACAAACTCAACGGAACAGTTTCTCATTGTAAATCGTAGGTTCTCACCAGCAGCAGCCCAATCACGGCCCCACCAATTAATTGCAAATTGCGCCCATTGCTTGGTCCTTGTTCGCCGATGGCACGTGCCCATTCGTCTTCCTCCTGCAGCGGCAGGGCCTGTCGGTGCACCGGGCTGCAGTCGTATTAGCTCCAAATAACCTTCCCGTCGGTTTTGCTTTTCCATCAAACAAATAACAGCAAAGGAGTCGCAGAGGGCTCTATCATTTTCAGCGTTATGTTATGGTTGAGGATATGGTTGCCAGAAAATATATTTTTTCGGATGATGTTTTGACAGCTCGGTCATCACGATCAAACACTCAGAAACGCCTTCTGGCACTCAAAACAACACATGAAACACAATAAGCACATACACAAGGTGGCAGAGTGACTTATCCCCTGCTAGGAGCTCTAAATTACAACTCTTACCAAACCATGTTTTGTTGTTCGCCTCGGTTCGCTCAAATCCACACTTCTGACCCGAGAAAATTATTCCAGAAGCTCCTCAATCGAGAACGCAGAAGAAAATTCGTCAAAATCCCCGTTGGAAGCACCGGAATCGTGTGGAAGCTCCTAGGGATGCTTCCCTGCCAAAAACGCGGCAAAACTTGTAACGTGGTTACAGATTTCCGAAATTACCCAAAAATATATCTAATTGGAAAACAACCTTCACTTGCATGCAATAGTCCGCGTTCTTAGTCTCTAATCCATCAAAGCTGCGAAACGCCAAAGGGGTTCATCAGGGGTCAGCGATTTTCGATTTTCGATAAAAGGGGGGGTCGTCCATAAACGACTCTTCTCGGAATTAAACACACGAAAAGTACCGAATGAGTGGTCGTCGGGTTCGTTCTCGGGGGTTAAAGCATACCCTCATCTGCATGAGCCGTACTCTAAGAGTTTGACTAGCAAACAGTGCACACTGCCGATCCGCGATTATTTAAAATTAGGAGTAAATTGATATAAATTTAAAAGTAGTGATCAGCCTGAAACAGTAATCAGAATTCAGGGTCAAGCAGAAGCCAATTATCAAAGGCTACCGGTGAAAAACAGACTAAAGGAGACCACGCGTTAGATCTCAAAAGTAGGCGCCATTGTTGCATTGTGTGAACAATTAATTTTCAACCATTGTCTCCCCAATAGTCGGCTGATAGCGTTGTGAACACAAAAAAAAAAACTAAAATAAAATAAAATAGCTGTGAGAAAGAGGTAACTATAACCAGTCTGCGACAGTGCTTAGCAGAAACCTAATTTCGCTTTGAATTTCGCTCGAACAACTCCTTCGAACGAAGGTGCCACCCCTAGGTTAACCCGTCAACGGAACTCGTCGTAGTGACGTCCACGTGCGACGACTGCAGACACAAAGAAACAGACCGTTTTGGCCGAGTGCGACATCACCCGAAACCGTGTGACACGTGTGCGCCAAGGGTGGGAGCAGTCGATCGATGCCGTTAGCCGTGTGACGAACCACCGAGCGAAGAAGTTCGTTCGCTATCTCCGTGATAGTGCCCGCGCTCGTCTCTAGAGGGCCACCACTGCCGAACCAATAACGTCGTTGGAAAAACTATAGGGTATACCACCCACCTGCATGCAACGAACCTATCAGTGAAGTGACTGACCGTTCGTATTGATCCGTGACAATACCCACGCTTGTTTGAGAAGGGCCTCCCGTGGCAAAATCCTACACGTGTTTTGGGTGTATCGCCCCGCAGGCCACGCACCACCAAGTGCACTCCGTCGACGCAACGTTGGACTACGAGGGATCACGAGGGACGCCTCCACCGTCGCGTTGCAGTAGGGCAAGTAAAACCATGGAAAACGACTATAAAAACAAAATGTACATAACTAACCCTTACGTTAAGACACAAGCTTTTATACAAAATGCATTAGTTGCTCATATCCTTCGTTTCTAAATTGCCGTTGAAGGCCGAATAAACAGCAACAGCACTATGAGTTAGAATAGCAGCTTATGCCAGTTTTTATTGTTCGCAAAGCAATTCCCTAGGTTAAATGTGTGAGATCGGTTTATGCAGATTCGGTTTTTGTTTCGCCATTTTAGAATAGGCTCTGGACTTGGAAAACCTTCAAAGGAAACCGGGTCCACCCTGAAGTTGTTGGAAGTTCCGATTTGTTCTTTTCGATAACTCCTTCCGTGAGTTTGGTGTGGAACGTTTCGGTCGTGGGTCGTAGGTTGAGGACCAGGACTCGCCTTGAGGTCTCCCAGCTGGGCACGGGATACAAAGAGAGATACAAACCACGCTCCTTCACGGCAAGAAAAATACACTTGCCTGGCGCTTAAGTGAAGGCTGTATTCGGCACCTACCCTTTCCTTCTCCTACTCCCGTTACAAACTACATCGACATTCTCTAGAACCTCTGTTGGCAGCACCGAAAATCTCCATCGGAACTGTACAGAATCTCTTCCACCAAAAACCGAGCCAAAAACGCGAAACAAAACTCCCTGAAACTTCCGTTGACAGCATCGGGAATCTCCATAGATAACGCGGAAAAAACCGTCAAAATTCCCTGGAACCGCTGGCAGCATCGGACGTGATAAACTCTGTCGAATCCTATTGGAACCTCCGTTGGTAGCATCGAAAATCTTCATCGAAATTCTGCAGAATCTCAAAATCGAGCGGTATCCCCTAAGGCCGTGAACAATCACAAACTTCTTCGATACTCCCCAAGAGAATTCAGATGCTGCCAACGGAAGTTCCATAGTTTCGACAGCGATGGCGTCGCACGATTTCGCTAATGATTACCTATCCTGCTGACAAAAGTTCCAGGGAATAACGCCGGCATTTTCAACGGATTTTTCTTGCCTTCTCGGAGTAAGAGATTCTGCATGATTTTGGGAACAATTCTAGATGCTGGCAACGTAGGTTCTAAGAGATTTTTCCTTATCCTGATAAAGGGTTCATCCATAGAGGTAACTCTCAGACCAGAAGATCCCGAAGAAACGTGCTCAACCTTTTGGCTCAGCTCTGGTACTATCTTCGGTCCCAAGCTAATCGATTCACCCCTCGAAACATAGGAAAATCCTCGGGAAAATCCACTAACCCCTCATTTTATCTGTCAAACTTTCATAGCGAATCAAAACAAACATTGTGTAGTACTAGAATTTTGACTAGAATGGGGTACGTTAATCGATTTGCTTGGGGCCAATAGACTAGTCAAGTAGTGAGCCAATTTAAAATCGTTAGTTTCGTATTGACTGTTGGTAAGACCAACCGGTGGAAACTAATTAAATTGGCTCACTACTTGACTAGGCTATTGGCCCCAAGCAAATCGATTAACGTACCCCATTCTAGTCAAAATTCTAGTACTACACTCTGTTTGTTTTGATTCGCTATGAAAGTTTGACAGATAAAATGAGGGGTAAAATCAAAGCAAGGCACAATACGACCCAATTAAAAAGGACTCCTGAATTATGGGCACAAAGCACTTTCGACCAACTGCACCTGTTTCCATTTATGCTGGCTATCTCAAGTTTTGGTTTTGACAAAAATGAGTGACAAAAGCGACAGATCAAAACAGTCAGAATTTATTTTGAAGATCAAGCTGTAAATAGTGTACAATAATAATTATTAGTGCTGTGGCAATTATTATACTTATTGCCACTTGCTGACCATCCTGCTGTAGCATTTACGTATAAAAAGATCGAGCAATGGCCGACACAAACGTCGAAAACAAACCGAAAATTTCTGACCAGGAGCACGAACTGGAAATAGCCGCTTTCAACGAGTTCCAAAAGTAAGTGGTACCTATCAGAATTTCTGGTGCTTGAACCTGTAAGTTAGTATACCTTTCAAAACTTCGCAGAGCCGATTATGAATCCTGCCTCAAAACACTTCTCAAGCTGCAGAAAACTCAGGACTCCAACCCGAAGGTCATCCACAACCGAGCGGTGGCGGAGTTTTACCTGAGCGATCTACGAAAGTACGGTCAGTTCCGGAAGACGATGATTCAGATCACGGAACTGGTAGGGGAGATCCAGTCGGTGGATGTGAAACATCCGGAGCTTGCAGCGGCATACGTCAATCAGGCGATGATACTGTATCACTTTAGGCAACCGTTGGCAGCGCTAAAGATCATGATGGCAGTTATGGGACACTTTGAACAGTTGGACGATTATCTGCTGAGAAAGGCCGGGATATTCACGGTTCATCTGCTGTTGGACACGAACCAACCGAAGAAGGCAAATTGGCTGCTGGGGATGCTGCAGACGCGCTTGAGCATACGGGTGCAGGAGATTCTAAACCCGGACGATGAAGAGGAAAAGGTGATTGATAACGAAAGTCGGAAGGATATTTCGGAGATTCAGTTTGAAGAATTTCGGAAGGAATTCCGCCTGGTATTGATTAGATCGAATTTGCTTAACGGGAAGAAGAATTTTACAATCCCTTGCGACGAGTCGTCGGAGTATTCGATTCTGAAAGGCCATCAGTACTACCTGGGAAACGATTATCAGATGGCTGCGAAGGAACTGTCGAAACGGTTCGTAAATGAACCGAATAAGGTTCTGACACACGGAGAAGATCAAAATACGTGTTTGGCTAACAACATGGGATTGATACATTTTGCTGTAAAGCATTACGCGCTAACTGCCAGATTCTTCCAGCAAGCTCTTTTGTTTGACCAGGCTGCAACGGGTAACACTTCTACTGAGAAGGTCGAAGGATCTCCTTTGTACTGCGTCGGTGCGACGAAACGACCGGAAATTCTCTACAACCACGGCATCACACTGCTACACTTGCAGAAACCGAGGGAAGCTTTCGAATGTCTTTTAGTGGTGCTGAATTCTTACCACAACAATCCAAGGCTATGGCTACGATTGGCCGAATGCTGCGTAATGGTACACCAGCAAACGCAGAAGGAACAAACCAAGAATGTGGCAACAGTGTTACAGCATAGGAAACACCTACAGAAGCGCCCATTTAACATAGAAGAACAATCGGCTGCTATTCCTAGCACAACGTTAGAATTTGCTTCCCTCTGCCTTCGCAATGCCGTCACTTTGATTGACTTTCACACCAAGGAAATGGTAAAACAGATGGAAGCCGCTGAGAAACCCGTATCGTGGGACAAAACCTACGAAGGTGTACCGTGCAGCCCATCGCAACCGCTGAAACCAGCAAGTCTGGAGAAGCTCCGAATCGCTACCCTCAGTGCCTACAGCTACGTCCAGCTGTGTCTTGGTGACTATACTCTAGCTCTGAAGTACGCCCAGGAGACCTTGACCATTGAGGACCTTCCGGAGACCCATCAGACTCTGGCGTCGATGTACTGTGCCGAAGCGCTGATCATGATGGATCGCATTCCGGAAGCACTGGTCTACCTGGATCCCAAGCGGATGCAGGACTTCAAGGGGGAGGATTTTACCACTCGTGGATCGCCTAACTGGAGCATGAACACGCTGGAAGCGGCGCAATCCGTGGTGCACTACAACCTGGCGGTGACACTTTTCACCATGGGCGATTACGAGAAGGGCAAGATTTGTATGAGCGCATGCACCCATCCGGTCGTGATCCCGAACCTGAAGATGCTCAAGATGTACTACGAGCTGGTGTTCGGTAATGTGGAAAAGGTCAAGATGATGGCTCGATACGATGCGGCTAATTTGGTGTGAATGATGTTTTACTTTGTGGCAATACATTTGTGCGGTGGTTATAAAAAGGCTCTTTTCGCTATTATAAGACTGGAAGTTTTGAAGAGGTCTCTAAAAGGTGGTGAAGGGCACCTGGATCCCGAGCAAAGCATACTTCTAGATGATTTACGAATGACGTTTAGTTGATATTTCGGTAAAGCTTTAGTGTTAGCCATGGCAACCTAATTGACTAGAATCTAGCAATTAATGAGCTTGACAACTATTTTTTTTTTCATTTGATAGCATTTTTTGGCGATTATGCTTCTTTTTCTTCTTCTTGATTCGTTTACTTCGGTTCGCTGAGTTCCTGCACTTTTGGCGATTATGAGTGAACTAAACTCAAATTTGGGTCGTTCTCATTCACCGTGCACATTTTTGAAACGATGGGTGATGATCCTCTGGAGAAGTAAATGCTTATGTCGTCATGATATAACCGATTACAAAAATATTTTAATCGAGATTTTACTATTCAGTTCGTTAATCGATTAATCGATTATTTGAATGAAAATCTGCCATCACCAAGGGGGGGGTTGGTGGCTGTCAAATACGAACAATTGTCGCCTACCTCGCATAACTGGTTCCAAACGTAAACAAGCAATAAGAAACCTACAGCGTTTGTTTACGTTTGGAACCAGTTTCATACAAGAATGATCAGTAGGCTGATTTGACAGCACCCCCCCCCCCCCCCCCCCCCCAGGCCATCACGACACGGCGAATGAGAACGACCCAAATTTGATTTAGTTCACTCATAATCACCAAAAGTGCAGGAACTCAGCGATGAGTAAAATTTGTCTCATGGTTTCCTGTGGAAAACCTAAAAAATCTGCCGGAAAATGAGGAAATTGACGAAAATTTTATTCAGTCTCGGAGTAGTACCAATAGACTGAGTGAATCCAATCTTCACTTTTCTCAAATTCGGGAATTTTTCCCTGGAAAATCCTGGAAAAACATGAGGCAAATTTACTCATCGCTGAGTTTCTGCAGTTTTGGCGATTATGAGTGAACTAAACTCAAATTTGGGTCGTTCTCATTCGCCGTGTAAGGACCGTACATAAATAATGATAATGATAATCGCCAAAAGTTCAGGAACTCAGCGATGAGTAAATTTGTCTCATGTTTTTCCAGGAATCATCATCAAATTGGTGTTAATTTGCATATATTTCTCACAATTACATCTACACAGGGTTTAGTTGGGCACTTACTGAAATACTTCAATAGTACAATTCCCTTGCAAACCCAAACAAATCTATCTGCGTAAAAAATAAAAAAATAAGAGTGATTTGCGGCAAACCCCGGTATCGCACCCAACGTCAGTGCTTATAAGGGGAAGCTTAGTAATCCCCATTACCTGCCCATGGCGCCATTCTATCGCGGGATGAGCCAGCAATGCCGGCCATAAACCTACCATAGTAGGTAGTACCAACAATCAATGCGAAACTAACGATTTTAAATTGGCTCACTACTTGACTAGCCTATTGGTCCCAAGCAAACGATTAACGTACCCCATTCTAGTTGAAATTCTAGTACTACACTATGTTTGTTTTGATTCGCTATGAAAGTTTGGCAGATAAAATGAGGGGTTATTGGTTTTTCCTATGTTTCGAGGGGTGAATCGATTAGCTTGGGACCGAAAAGAGTACCAGAGCTGAGCCAAAAAGTTGAGCACGTTATTTCGGGACCTTCTAGTCTTAGAGTTACCTCTATGGTAGTAGTAAGTAGTAAAATTATGTTTATTTCTGTTGATTATGGTAGTACACTGATTTATCATTTTAACTGATTAGCCTACCTGGCACTTCATCTTTGTTTAATTTGATATTCTAATTTAATATTTGCGTTTTTCAACTAGTTTACAGAATATCCCTTAGGGGATGTGTTTTATTTGAATTGAAAAAAGTGATAACCTACCTAACTACGAGTATAACTTAACCTAACGTGCTAGATCACGTATGATCTGATGATTTGATCTCAGACAGGCGTCTCTGAACCGTTCCAGGATGAATACTCTCCGTTCTTATAATGTCTGAATTCCAGCCAGGAGGTGGATCTCAGAATTTCTAGTCCGCGGGGGACTGTTTAGGACCATCCTAAGGATCTTGTTTGGATCCTTTGGAGTTTAAGGTGATGGCATTTTGCGCAACTCTCCCAGGTTGGCATACCGTACTCGATTACAGGAAGGATGATTTGTTTGTAGACAGCAAGCTTATTTTTCAGGGACAGGGTTGACCTGAGTACTGCGGAGTAAATCGATTTCATTTTGCAAGCCAATTGGCTTTTTGCCGCAAGATTTCACCAATACCAACAATCAATACGAAACTAACGATTTTAAATTGGCTCACCACTTTAGTAGCCTATTGGTCCCAAGCAAACGATTAACGTACCCTATTCTAGTTGAAATTCTATTACTACACTATGTTTGTTTTGATTCGCTATGAAAGTTTGACAGATAACATCAGGGGTGTGTGGATTCATGCAGAACATGCAGGGGTGAGTGAAATAGCTTGGGACTGCTTGGGACCGTTGTTCTGGTACTGAGTGAGCCAAAAATAATAATGATTTTCTTCGGGACCCAGTGGTCTTAGAGTTACCTCTATGCTTGTATTAGTGAAACTGCTCACTAATACTAACGGTCGTAGAGAACTCTATGGAAAACTGCTTGAAAATTTGTTCAAGTTTAAAATTGTTTTGTTCTTTCTCAGTTGATTCCCGCCAAAAGCTTTGAGCCAGGAGTGCTCGAGCCCCCATGACTCTATCAAAGTTTGTTTACAATCATGTTTCGCCAAAGTATGTTTTACTGCAATTGAAAACTCAGCTGAGTCATAAAAACTATGCTGGTTTTTATACTTTCATCATTGAGCCTGTTGGTTTTTGTCTTTGAGCTTACAATTAAGAATGTGTTATGAAAAAGTATTAATCATTTTTTTTTTTTTGATATTGCAATGCTTGACGAGAGGTAACAACAGTAACTGAGTTTGTTGCTTCTGAATGTTTGGCTCCCGTTTGACAGTTCTGACTGGCTCCCAAGTGACAAGCACATTGAGTGAGTCCGCAGTACCCAGGGGTTGACTTCCTGTTGATAAAGTGGATACAACGATCTTATCAAGATGTTGCACTTGGTTTTTGTTTTGTCAAAGTGCTCCCTGAAAACAAGCTTGCTGTCTAGTGTTAGCCCGAGGTACACGACCTCTTTGGACCATTCCACAACTGTGCCGTTCAGGCAGATCTTGTTATTCTCCGACGGAACAAGTCTAGGAGATTTAGAGTGTGGAAAGATAATGACCTGGGTCTTTGCCGCGTTGATACGGATCTTCCAGCTGTTGGAATATTCAGACAGGACGTCCAGGCCTCTCTGAAGTTTGGCAGTCAGAGCTCCGATGACTCTACCCTTGTAGACGATGGATGTGTCATCTGCGAACAGAGACAACGATCCACCATCTGGGAGAGCCGGCATATCGGAGGTGAACAGGTTGAATAGGATGGGGCCAAGGATGCTTTCTTGTGGAACCCCGGCACCGATGTTGAAAGCATCCGATGTGATGCCATTCAGAGAGACTCGGAACGTCCTGTCTGATAGATAGTTGTTTATGATCTTCACTAGGAAGATTGGAAGACCGTACTGCTGCAATTTGAACACCAGGCCATCATGCCAGACATTGTCGAACGCTTTTTCAGCGTCCAACAACGCCATGGCAAATGTTTTCGAAACGACCTTTCCGAAAACCAAACTGTTCCTCGAGTAACAAGTTGTTTTCATCGGCAGATGTTAGGAGCCGGTGGTACAGTGCTCTTTCGAACAGTTTTGATAACCCTGAGAGAAGGCTGATTGGTCGATAACTTGAAGGAGAGGACGGATCCTTCCCAGGTTTCCGGATGGGTATGACTTTAGCTGACTTCCAACACGAGGGGAAGTAGCCATGTCTGAGGCACTGATTAAAAATCAGTGCCAGATGGTTGTAGAATCTGGTACTCAAGAGTTTGAGTTCCAGATTCAGGATGTTGTCGAAACCTGGGGCCTTCATGTTTTTAGATAATTTGATATAGGCCAACAGTTCGTCAGCCGTAATCTCGGATTCCTCTGGAAAAATGTTAGGAAAGGGCTTGGCACAATCTGGGAGAGAGCGGATCTTACTAGCAAAATCGTTATTTCTGAGATCCACCATCATTGCCTGAATGATCTTTGTTAATCGATTACATTGGTCTTCAAGTTAGGCAGGCCAGTACGCTGGTACTGCCTACGAATGGTGTTACGGAGTCTAATGAGATCTTTGGTAGGGCTGTCAAGGTTCAGAGTGTTATTCACCTGTCTGGATACTGGCACGTGTTGTTCCCTGGCCCGGGAAATCGCCTCCTCGATGGTTTGTAGACACTGGTCAACATCTTCGGACGTCCCCGGTTGGACATCGTAGTCGATGGTTGTGTCGACGCACCGTCCGTCTCCAACACTCCACTAAAAAGCATGAAATTAAGCTCGCCCACCAGCAACAAGGTGCAAAAACTAGTCAAGGGGAGGGAATGTTAACTGCGCGTTTCTTGTTAATGGAATTTCGGTTCGTTCAGGAATAAGCAACCATTCTAGTGTGATGTTTATTTATTTGCTACCAATTGCCCTGAATACCTAGTTATGTGCATGTTAAAAAAATGTGCCACTGACTGACAGTATTTGAAAACTTCTATCATTATGTATCTATTATTTATCACTTCCGTTTGGGATGGCCAGTCTGATATAGAGTAATGGCCCGATTTTGTCAGCCCCCTTTTTAATAAACTTTTCTAATGTTCTTCGAACCCCATGCGCTTTTTCAGTTACATTTTGTTTGTTTTCTTAATTGGATGCTTTCTGCGGCAAGTATGAAACTCTATTTCTAAACTACACAGCAACATGTATGTACAATACATTTGATATAGGGGTAAGAGGGGCATAGTGAGCATCCCATGCCACAGCTTGGTCTTCCGGCCGTTCGGAACAAATTGGTTGTTGGTAGGATCAATATCATAATGATATTGATCCTACTACCAGTTGATTTGTTTAATGCAGCTGGAGATCCAGAGCCAAAGTGCGGAATGCTCACTATGCCCCTCCTGCCCCTAGCACGTAATTTTTAACAATATTTTATATTACGTTACAGATACATCTGGAACACCTGGGTGAAATTTGAATTTGAGGCATGCCAATAAATTTGTATTTCTCACTGATGATCAACTAAAAATATATATTATTGTTGTAGAACAAAGCAAGGGCGGCGACACACCTAAATTTCAATTGTTGAAGCTAAAAAAATCCTACACTAACGAATCAATTTCTTTTGTCGCATCTACTTGCGATTCATATTCTTGCAGGAAATCTTCAGAATCGTCATAAAGTGAACAAACATCTACCTTGAAGATGAATGAGAAAGATTTGAAATTACGGTTATGTGAAATTACCTGGAAATTATTGAAAGATAAAAGTCTGATGCGCGGAGGGGCTGACAAAATTGGGTCACTACTGTAATACGTAGTTCAGTTCTACGTCGTTTGTAAGCTTAAAATATCTACTTCGTTTTTATACAAACATTTCGTTAAAATTATTCACTCAATTGCATAGACAAATTGCACAGAATTAAGCTTTTTTTAAGCAAAAAGGCCGCTACTAAAGTACACATGTGAATAATAGGCAAAAACAAACAAAGAAAAACAAAAATCAACCATCACCCTAGCGCAACGGCACACAATAGAATTACCTAAACTCATCCCGCTTTGCCGTCGACTTCCCCGTTCGTCACACAGTCAGGTGCAAGTACTCGGCGATGAACACTCGGAAGACTTTAATCAGGTTCTGCACGGAGCTAATGTCGACGGCACTGGCATCGTCGGAAAGCTTGTGCCAAACTTCCGGGAACGGGCTGGGAATGATGTGCAGAATCGGAACCTGTCTCTGCAGGAACGGAATATGGTCGTCCTCGATGTAGGCATTGTACGAGTGCGGTTGGAAGTACCGGATCGTTTGCTGGTCCGGCGTTACACTGCTGTAGGTGTAACGCTCCAAGTGGCCCGCCCGTTCCAATCGCTCCTCGGCGGTCAGCAGCTGAGCATACCAACTTTCGGTATTCTTGAAATAGCTGTAAAAACTCGGGTCCGGTGCTCCGATCAAATCCAACAGGATCAACATATCGATTCGATTCAGTTTATTTTCTTTGTCCCACCGAGCCGCCAGGTGGCGAGCTCCGTAGATCGAGTCCTTCGGTCCCCACTGATGGAATGCTTCCTCTCCGTCGAAGAACACCAGCTGAAGGCTCAAATTGTTGTCCGACATTTTCTTATCCAGCTGAGACTTCATAGAGCTTGCCAGGTCCAGCATCATCGCACAAGGAACGGCCGAATCCGTTGCACCGATAAACACCTGGTCCTTGAAATATTTGCTATCATAGTGGCAGGCTAGTATCAGGAATCGCTCCGCATTAGGGTTCAAGCTGGCAATTACATTAGCAAATTTCAGTTTCCCATGGGTAGGCGTTTCGTCATCGAACTCATCCAACTCTACGTGCCAATCCAACTTTCTCAAGTAATCCACAATGTAGTTCTTCACATTTTCATGACCAGGCGTCCCAACGACCCGCTCCACCAGTAGATGCTTAAGAATCTCGTTCAGTTCACTTTTCTGCGAAAGATTCGACAGCTGCTCAATTGCGGCTAGCGAAATTTCCAGTGGACGGTGATTTTCCTGGAGAAACAAATTATCCACACTTACATCTGGTTCTAGAGTAGAAAGGAAGAAAATAATCTTACCCGTTTCAGCTTAAGGTTATCGGTCTGGGAGCGAACACGGCTGGAGGTTTGCAGTAGAACCACAGCTAGAAGGATATAAACGGAATGAAGTCGTGGCATTTTTGTTAGCCTCGTCGTTCTGGCTGATAACACTGCTAATCTCACACAATGGAATGTATTGTTGAACTTTTTTTTTTGTATGGCAATGTATGGCTAATTTTCACAGTTTGAGCGATTGGCATTGGATTAGAAGGCTACCCAATTAATACGCGAGTTAAATACGTGAGTGTGTGACGAAACTGGGATTGAAACTGGAGAACAACAAACAGCTGCTGCACCCTCGCGAGTCGCGAAGCGATTGTCGGACTCTCGCGCGGATCGTGAGTAGATTGACATAACGGAGTAAATATAAATAAAAACAAGATAAAAAAGAGGAAAAAAAAAGCGATCGGTAAACAGATACCCGGTACTGAAAAATTTAATATTTCAATTAGGATTGGGCGATCTTTTGGCATCAAAAACATGACCGTCGCACAGCAAAAAAAAAATGTATTGCGAGGGGTTTCTACCAACATTGATTACGGGTCAGTGCCTACACAGCAAAAAAAAATGTAATATCGATCAACGTAATTCAAGCTGATGTATGAAATAATGATGTAATAGCAAAAAGCAGATACAATATTACATCAATGGATGTAATTTTGTTCGCAAAATCGATGTACATCGTACAATGTGATATTACACAACCGATGGATTGACCTGGTTGCATCAGTTTCGATGTAATATTCAACAACTTTTTTTGCTGTGTATGAAATTACCAAGAATTGGGTTGTTTAACTTCGAAAAATATAAACAGACGTAACACTTTGAATAAAATTATCTTCAAACCATACCACCTAGAAGCACACATGAAATTTATGAGTCAAATGAATAGTATGTGCGGCTACACATGGCTTTTATGTGTACACATATTAAGTAAGTGTCCGACACATAGATATTATTTGTTGATCACATTGCAAAAATTCATGTGTGGGACACATAGAAACAATCTTTGAAATTTTATCAGAGTAGTACCGCCAAACATAGGACTGCAGTAACGACATCTCGAGGGCTTCTCGCGGAAAACAAACTGCCCTAATAAAATTGTTATGGTTATTTTGCTTAACGACGTGTTCCGGGTATCATCCAAACCATTTGTGGAATAGTTCTATTATTTGGGTTGTCGTTCGTTTATGGTTATTTTTTATTAGGGTGGCTCTCTGATTAGCAAACAAACTTGCATGCAAGAAAAACCAAATATATAGAAACGTCAAAGTGATCCGATGCCAGCGCTGCGGCGAGTAGTTCGCGGAAACGATAACATTCAAACCAATCGTTAAATGCGCAAACGATGATCAGGAATGAAGAGTTACGTCTGTTTGTCTGTGGTTTCAGTGTACCAAAATTGATTAAATTTTGGATTTCGGTTCCATTTTTAATGCAGATTACCTCACCCCTAAGGAACCCAATTACTGCGATTATTATACACTAATTAAAAATTACTGTGTTACTTGATTACTGGGATTACTGTGTTACTTGATTACTGGGATTACTGCGATTACTTGAATGATATGAGGAATTACAATCAACAATCAATACGAAACTAACGATTTTAAATTGGCTCACTACTTGACTAGCCTATTGGTCCCAAGCAAACGATTAACGTATCCCATTCTAGTCAAATTCTAGTACTACGCAATGTTTGTTTTGATTCGCTATGAAAGTTTGACAGATGAAATGAGGGGTTATTCGTTTTTCCTATGTTTCGAGGGGTGAATCTATTAGCTTGGGACCGAAGATAGTACCAGAGCTGAGCCAAAAAGTTGAGCACGTTTCTTCGGGACCTACTAGTCTTAAACGCTGTCCAGACTGGAGAGTTATAACATGTTATAACGGTTGTCAAATAATTGAAACACAGAAACCACCATCAAGATAGAGCTATAACATGTTATAACTCTGTAGTCTGATGCCTTGTTCAGACTGGAGAGTTATAACATGTTATAACGGTTGTCAAATAATTTCAACACAGAAACCACCATCAAGATAGCGCTATAACATCCCGCATAAACAATAACCATAAGATGCGCCTAACCACTAATTCGGGATATCATCCCAACTTTATGTGGTATGGTCACACCATCTAAGATATCGCCAGTATATGGTACCCGTTTATTAGGGATGTTATAACTCTGTAGTCTGAACGTACTATGAACGTACTATTAGAGTTACCTCTATGTTACAATCGTGATACTCAATTATTCACTGATTCATTTATACATATTAATATTATTTATTATTAACGCTAAACGACGTGTTCGGTGTATCATACAAACCATTTGTGGAATAGTTATACCATTTGGGTTATCGTTCATTTATCGACAGCAGAAGCGGAAAAGGCCGATCTGAAAGCTAGTTAGAAACTAATTGGCGAATCAAAGCAAAGTCAAAACTGGTCATGCGAAACCTACTTTTCAGATCCGCAGTTACTGTGATGTACTAAAACAAAATTCATGCAATTTGACAGATATCAAAACGTCATTACCGTTTTCACCCACTCGCCATCTGTGAGTCAATCGTCACTTTGATTCTTCAATCGACTACGGGTAGGCATCTTTATGTCATTTCAAACAGAACACTGCATTAGGCCCTAAGTAACATTGACAGATTCTCTCAAAACGACGAGAGCTTTGTCCTAGGGGCAGATCACTTGTGGTGCATTTATTATAACAAAACATAAATAAATGCATTTTGACCAGAAACAAAAAAATTAAATGCATTTTCTCAGTGCATTTTTTGTAGCGTGGTGCTCTAAGTGACAGTTTCTACCAAAACATGTTGTTATTCACATCGGTTAGCTCAAATCCACACTCATGACTCGAGCAAATTTTTCCTGAAGCTCCTCGACTGAGAATGCGGAAAAAATCCGTCGAAATTCCCTGTAACCGATGGGAGCATCGGACGCAATAAACTCTGATGAAACCCACTGGAACCTCCGTTGGCAGCACCGAAAATCTCCATCGAAATCACCGGGAACCTATCCGACGTGAACATTTGAAAACACTGTCGAATCTCTCCGGAACATCCATAATATACAAAATATCCACCGAAATCATGCTATGGTATTCTCTCCGCCGTGAACACGCATAAACTTACTAAAAACTTCCTGCAACCTCCTCCGGTAGCAACGGAAATCTCAAACGAAATCGTGCAGAAGCTGCCTCCGGAACTTCCAATGTCAACATCGAAAACCTTCCCCGAAATCGTGCTGAGCCCGCTTCACCGAGAACGCGTGAAAACCCCAGCAAAATTCCGTTGAACCTTCGTTGGCAGTATAGCAAATCTCCACCAGAATCTTGTGGAAGCTCCTTCACCGAAAACACGAGGAAATGACATAAAAATTTCCTGGAACATCCGTTGTTAGCACCGACAATATGCCTTTTTAATGCACCACCAACGTAGAGTACGCCACGCGAGTTCGAGAACAAACATCAACCAAACCGTTTGTTTACATCAGAATAACTATTTTTCACAACGCAAATTAAAGCATTTTTAATTCAATATCTTACCAATTTCCATCGGTAATTGTCTTATTGTACAATTTTCCACAGATCTGAACTGATTTGTACCTTAACTATTCACACACAAGAAATCCGGAAGATCATAACCACTAAGGCACTTTTCTAATTTTCCATTTTTCTCTACAAAAATATTCCTGAACACCAGCAGGATCTTTGCAAAAACGTTACAGAATTAAATTTTTCAACTAGTTTTGGAGCATCTCTGATAAATCAATTTATCAGGAAAAGTAAAAAAGTGTTCAGTTTCGTGTCTCACGATAGAAATTTCTGCTCACAACCTCGCTCACAACACTCTTTTTGACGTTTTCCTATTCTTCACCAGAGGTTGAATCGATCGTTTAGTTTCTATTAAAAAGGCGTATAGCCACCGAAATCGTATTTCTCGACCGTGCACACAAGAAAACATCCATCGAAATCGTGCAGATTCTCCTCCGCTGAGAAAACTCCATCGAAATTATTTGGAATCTCCACACAGCAAAAAAAAAAATATGTTATATCGATCAATGTAATTCAAGCTGATGTATGAAATAATGATGTAAAAGCAAAAAGCAGATACAATATTACATAAATGGATGTAATTTTGTTCGCAAAATCGATGGACATCATACAACGTTATATTACACAACCGATGGATTGAACTGGTTGCAGCAGTTTGGATGTAATATTCAACAACTTTTTTTTCTTCTGTGCACTGGAAGCATCGAAAATCGCCACCGAAACCGTGTGGAACCTCGTCCACCATGAACGCAAGAGAATGCCATCGAATTTTTTTATTTTCACATTTTGTTTTATTGGTCATACTGTATGTAATTGTAATTGTTATTGATTTAGTCAAACGTAATTCGTAAATTACGTAATTTAGTCAAACGACGAACAAGAAAAACTTTCCTAAAATCTGCATTTGCAGCATATAGAACCGTTTCCAAAAGAATTCATGCAGAACCTCCTCCACCGAGAACGAGAGAAAATCCCGTTGGCAGCATCCAAACTCCTCACTGGCCGAAGCTCCTCCGACGACAATGCGTGGAAACACCGTCGAAACTCCCTGGGAACCTCCTTTGGCAGCGCAGCATATAAATTCTCTAGTCCACCGAAATCGTGTGGATAGACGATTTTTCTTTTCATGTTTTGATTGTATATCTTGCTTTGTTTTGACGTTCACATCCCACTGAATGGTTGATGTAAACGTGGAAATTAAATGCATTTTTTTTTAATTAAATACATCGTCAATAAGCATTTTAAAAGTGAGACGCCCCTAGGCTTTGTCTGTTTGTCTGTGATCGAGTGTTTTATAGGATTTTCCAATAGCGCAATTTTATACGAAAATCACCCGCATAAACGCGAACCATAACTTGACCAAACCGATAATGGTTAAACCGAGGGGGGCGACACATCTAAATCTCAATTCTAGATGCTCAAAAAATCTCACACCAACGAATAAATCTTCGAAAAATCTTCTTTCATTTCTCGCATCTACTTGCATCGCGCATCATCTTTTTGCAGGAAATCTTCAAAATTGTGATAAATCTTCTTTCTATCTACTCAGCGTACGCGCAGCTAGCCACAGCAAAACACAATATTTACTGCATCGTAGATAGAGTCGTCCCCCTCGGGTTAAACATTGTTTATAATCCTTCCTAAAATTTAACTGAAGTGGTTATGGAACTTTGAATTAATGTTTGTGTGACAAAGTATTAACCTTATGTATCAAGGTTTTTTGGAAGTGAACCTTACAAATAATGGGATGTTAAGAACCATTACCGTTCAAAATTATTGTTTTCTCCATGCATTTTCGGAAAGAGAACTATATTAGAACCTTTTAACATATGGTTTTAGATGGTAATGGTAATGATAGTCAGTAAGGTCCATGGATGGTTTTGTATTCTCGGTCAACTTTACGTGGAATATATCGTGAATTGGTAATCAGTAATTCACAGGCAACCAATTGTCTCCGGTGAAGTGAAAATCTGACAGATACGCTCTTTCTCGAAACTTCAACTTTTCGCTTAGCAGCTGTTTTTTTTTTCAAGAGCAGCTGCATGCTTCAAAAAAGTAAACGCAAGCCCAAAAGGTGCGATCCACAAAATTTATTTTCACTGGATCGTATATGTATACAGTTCCAAGCGAAGTGAAATTTTTGTCTGTTACATTTTCAAGCTGGTGAAAAATCGACTATTTTATATTATAAGATTTTCACTTCGCTTCGATCTCTATACAGGCCTTACCTTGGTACTCAACATGCTTTGACACTGGTGAGTGATTATTTTCAATATTTCAGTATCGGGCAGATGTTTACCTGTCAAAGTGTGATGAAGCTGCATCTACTTGTCAGTTTGTCGGAGACGCGAAAACTGAAAAGTTGTTTTCGACAATAATTTTATGAGAAAATTTGTGTATTTTGTGCAATTCTGTAAAATTTCTTAACTCCGGTGTTTAGAAATTGTCATCCAGTACTAATTTCTACCGGCGCGTGTTAAAATCCGGCTCGATTGTGTGCGGTTTCCGGTGTATCCGCTTCGGTTTCTCTACTTCGGGGGTGTTTGTTTACGGTTTTTCGGTTTCGGTTCACGTTCGCGTTTGTGTTCTCGTTTATCTCGGTGGTCGTTCGTACGGAGGTATTTGGGTGAAACTCGAAGGATGCCACCACGTAAAAAGGTATTTGAGCTAGTTTTGATTGGTTTAGGGGTTGAGATACTTACCGCATTGTGTAAATTTGGCAGTCCACAAGCAGCACGGAATCCAGCACCGCCAGCTCATCGGATTCGAGTTCCAGTGATAGTAGCTCGAGTGGAAGCGATTCCGGAAGCTCCAGCAGCGAGAGTGATTCTTCCAGCTCGCAGGAGGCGACCACTACTCGCATGAGCCAGAACAACACGGGTGCCAATGGTAAGACGCGTTTGGTACTGATTTAGGTAAAAATGTATGAGATTTAAATTGGCGGTCTTATTTTTAGCTCCGAAAACTAACGAGAAAGTCGTTCGTCGTAGAAGTTCGGAAACGGGAGCATTGGCTGCCAAGCAAACTGCTGGTGCAGTAGCAGCAGCAGCAGCAGCAGCAGCAGGGAAAGACACTGATAAAACTGGTTCGCAAAAGCAGGCCAATCCGAAGCAACAAAAGCTTTCCAAGAGTTCGGTTTCTTCGAGTGATGATGATTTTGCGGCGGAGACTAAACCAGCTGCACCACCGATCGTTCAGAAGAAGGTTCAACAGGCAGAGGCAGCCAAAAAGAAAGCTCAGGAAAAGCAAGCTGCAGGTCAGGGAAATACTCCACTTCCGGTTGTTCCTCCAATAACAGGCGGCAAGGTACCGCCATCGGTCATTAAACAACAGCAACAGGCGCAGCATGCTCAACACCAGCAAAGCAAGACGGCACCGATCACGAAGGCAGCGGCTAAAGCAAGTGTCGTCACGAAGGAAGCTTCCAAAGCCAATGTTCCCGTTGCCAAAAAGGGTCCAAGCCCGGCTCTGTCCGCTCCGGCTACGAAGGCCAAAAAGAAGAGTATATTTTCGCCAGTAAATTCTTCGGAGTCGGATGAAGATAAGGAAAAGCCTGAGCAGAAGACACGTCGGACGTCTAGTTCCAGTTCGGTAGGGGCCGCTGGAACTGGGTCTGTTGGTGAGTGCGAAAACTGTTGTTTCGACAACTTTCATTGTAATGATCGTTGAAAATTATTTTATTTTGCAGGAGGTCAAGCGACCCAGCCTAGTAAGGAACAGACTGCCTCTGGAGCACAGCCGGCTGGGGGAACCACAGCTCAACAGCAACGAGGTCGTGGTCGTCCTCGAAAGACTCCAGCCGCTGCTACTACCGGACCTGTGACAAAACCAGTCGCTCAGGTCAAACCTCAAGTAACGGCGGCGCCAGCAAAAACTCCTGCCTCAACTACTCAAAAGCAACCGGCACAGCAACAGCAGCCACAGCAAAAGTTAGAAGATGATATCTCTTCGGCCACCACATCCTCCACAGATTCATCCTCATCCGGATCGTCGGATTCGGATTCCGACTCATCGGAGGATTCCACTCCATCGACCTCGGCTGCTCAGCAACTGAAGAAAAGCAACAGCGGTGTGAAGCGTCCGTTAGAGCGTACTCCGCAAAAATCTGAGGTCAAAGAAGGAGCTACTGATTCCGAGGGTGAAAAGGGTGACCCGAGTAAGCAAACTCGTAAGCTGACAAGATCTTCGAGTACCAGAAAATCCAAACACCTCATTGGTAAGAATGCCTCGGAGACGGAATCGGACGCAGACAGCGTCAAGCGTTCCGCATCAAAGAGTCCCGTCAAGAAGGCACCAACTGCTCCGGCCAAAGCCAAAGGTAAGGCCAAAAATAGCAGCAAGAAAAAGGACGCTGTCGTCAAAGAGCTTTTAATTGAGGAACCGGAACCGGAACCGGTCGAAAATCGTTGTCCTCTGCTACATTGCGAGTCAACTGGTCATTTGGGAGGTCAATTCGAACGTCACTTTACTCTGGAAGGCTGCCCCATGTTCCACAATATGACAGCACAGCACACTAAAGAATTCCTCCAGGAACGGAAGCGCCGTGAAGAGGAACGAAAGAAAGCCGTTCCGGTTTATGAGAATTCCAAAAAGATTCAAACGCCGGAACAGAAAATCTACATGCAGAAGATCCGCGACATGCGAGCCAAATTTAAGCCGAATCCACCTCCGGTGGAAAAGCCACGACCAATGGCAGAGCGACTGGAGAACGAGATCGACCTGGAACCGCGGCTGGATGGAATCGTCCCGGATTACGATATGCAGCTGTTCCGGGAAGCCCAGGCCACGGCTAGTGAGGGGTTCGAAAACGAAGTGAAGGACATGGTCACCGGCAAGGGAACGCGGTACATTTCGATGGGCCGCAATTGCATGCAAGTGTGGTACCAGAGTCCCTATCCGGATGATGTGGCTCGGCTGCCGAAGCTGTATCTGTGTGAGTTTTGTTTGCGGTATCAGAAGTCGGAAGTGGGCATGAAGCGGCATGCGGCCAAGTGCGTCTGGAGACATCCACCGGGTGACGAGGTATGTTTTTGGTTGGTTCGGGTCATTTGAACTGTTTTGAGCGAAACCGTGAATCTTGTTTCCTCCAGATTTACCGCAAGGGTAAGCTCGGCGTCTGGCAGGTGGATGGAAAGCGGCACAAGCAGTACTGCCAGCATTTGTGTCTGTTGGCGAAGTTTTTCCTGGATCACAAAACGCTGTACTACGACGTGGAACCGTTTCTGTTCTACGTGATGACCCTGGCCGACAGCGATGGATGTCACACGGTGGGGTACTTTAGCAAGGTAGGTGTCTACGTTTAGTTAATACAATGACATGAATCGCACGTATGATTTATTTAATACACCTAAGAGAAGGTGTACCATGAAAAATGTAATGGACCAAGAGATTTTGTATATCACTTGTTGAACTAAATGTGTTCAACTTTATGTTAGGAAGAGGGCGTTATAAAAAATACTTCATTCATTCACTAATCATAGCAATTTATCATTAGAGAGTTGTAAATGTTAATACATTATTTCCAGCTATAAATTTAAGTACGCTTAAGTTATCTTTCTTCTAAAATCTACAGTGTCAAAAAAAGAATAAAACACATTGTCTCCTAAACGCAAGTATGATCAACCGACGAATTTATTATCGCCTGAAAGTAGCTTGGTTTCCAGCGGCCCTACATCCTTCCTCCGTCAAGTGACATCTACCAGCTCCCAAATGCAACCACACGCTGAACCTTCCATTGTTTCCGGACAGCGGAGGTCGGACATAACGATTTACTATCAGAACGTAGCCGGTTTGAACGGCCTCGTGGAAGATTATCACTGTTACGACATTATAGTTTTGAGCTCAATTATCGAACCATTTCAAACTATGGCGTCTTTGGTGCTGCCTAATATCGCAGTTAATTCCAAGCTGTAAGCAGAAGTTATCGAGGACGATTCCTAGAACACGGTTGAACAAGTGTGGGTGGCTATTCAACTTGGTGATCGTCAATTGCTTCTCTGTGCAGTTTACACCCCCAAGGGGCAAGACAGCTGCACTCAGAGTAAATATATTTTCTGCGAGTAAATTTGAGTTACTCATATTTACTCAAAAATGAACAAAGTAGTCTCGTATTTTTCATCATAAGAAGATCTAGGAACAACCACCGTCTGACAGAATGTTTTATTTAAATATTGTCAAATAATAGAAAATTTAGCATTTGGCGTCAGATTACCAACTTTAATATAGAATGATGTCCATGAAACGGCAATATTAAGTTTTCATTATTAAAAGATCCAAGTTACATTGATTGTGTCCAACTGTCACTAGAAACTTCCGTTGTTTCCCGTGATACTCTTAGAAAAAGACAGCTGATAATTGTGATCAGAAACGGGTTAAATTTTTATCCACATTTAGCACAAATGGAACATTGACGAATACGGTATTTAATGTAGCTGTTCATCCCAAGTCACAATAGATTAGTTTTGGCCAACTTCATAGTTGATTCTATTCCGACACTTACATGAGCGATCGTCGGAGGGATGCTTCTCTTTTTTGTCATGCTACTTAGAATTGTTCCGAATCCTCCATTTGGGATGACTGTAGTCCTCCTTGAGATTGTCTGGAATCTCCCTGGAATTGTACGGAATCCTTTCTGGGATTGTTGAGGATCCCAACTCTCTGGACTGTCATGAATTCTCCTCAATTTTTACTGAAATCGTCCTTTAGACTGTCCAGAATCAATGTTTAGTTTGCCCGATTGTTTGATATTGTCCGGTAGCCGTACTGAGAGTGTATGAAATCTGTTCTGATAATTCAAGATAGAGCTGGAATTAGGGCGTAACAGCTTTTGTAAACAATGGCTTCTTTCTATGATTTACTGAAAGTCAAGGCTCGCCCACGCACATCAACATCACCATCAGGTAGGGACGGTAGGGTAAGACTTCCCCTACCCGCCGATAATGTTGGTTTGCGTGGGCGTGCCTTGAATTCCTAGAAATCATCGAGAGAATTATTTGTTTACAAAAGCTGTTACGCTCTGATTCCAGCTCTATCTAGAATTGTCTGGAATCACCCCTAGGCTAGTTCAGAGTCCCTCCGTCATAAATCCCCTTTTCGATTGACTGGAACCCTTCCAGAGATTGTCCGAAGTCTTCTAGAGATTGTCCAGAATTCCTCTGAGACTGTCCTGAATCCTTTTTGTGATTGTCCATCATAATCCGTATTATGTGGTTGCTAATGTTTCGCAGTGTGCTTTACGAAACTGCAATTACCTTTCCATTGCCGAAATATCTTCTCGGTTAAAATTTAGTTTACAATTGGGTTGTTTAACTTCGAAAAAATATACCGATTTTTATACATCATCTGATAGAGTTTAGTTTTTTGAGAACAACGATATTTTTATCGATCCCGTAGACATTCATCTCGATTTTTAAATCAAGATTTAAATTTTTGATCGTTGACACTAAATCTATTCGTTGACAGCTCGCTCCCATGAAAAGTCCCACCAAGGGGTGCTAAGATGGTGAGTTTTGCTAATGTAATCGTACTTATTTAAAATAGTTCCAGTGTACCAAAATCGATGAAATTTTGGTCCCATTTTTAATGCAGATAACGAATATGTATTTACCTCAATACCCCTAAATAACCCAATTACGACCCTTTGAAATGTTGCCACAGAATTATCTTTGCTTGACAGCATCGGTTTCAATAGATCAGTGCACGGTCCCTAACCTCACTTTTTGCTCCCTATCATTTTGCTTCTGAGTAAAAGAGATAGCAACGAATGGGAGCCAAAACAAACCACCCAAAACTGTCAAAACTTACGGGTGAGAGAAGAGTGCGGCAAATCTTCGTGAACTGATCAATACAACTACCAGGTTGCTATGTGTAAATGTTGTTGAGTAATGCGAGTTACTCCGAGGGGGGCGACACATCTAAATCTCAAGTTTAGATGCTCAACAAATTTCACACTAGCGAATCAATCTTCCAAAAATCTTCTTTCATTTGTCGCATCTAGTTGCATCGTTCATCATCTTTTTGCAGGAAATCTTCAGAATCGTCATCAATCTTCTTTCTATCTACTCAGCGTGCGTGCAGCTGCCACAGCAAAACACAATATTTTTTTAATCGTAGATAGAGTTGCCCCCCTCGAGTTACTCGGAATTACTCAAAATAAACTCCGATCATACTCATGATCGAAAGCTGTCTTGCCCCAAGTACATCCCTCCAGATCGAAAGATCACTTCAGACAAAGCAGGCCCTTCCGACGAAGTTATTGTTTTTGGCCATTTTAACCTACCGGACATTGCATGGACTCCAACGCAAAGTGGTTTCTTTTGTCCTGATCACGAGCGTTCATCTTTCCACGTAGGAACCATCCAGCTCCTGGACAGTTATAGTACCGCAATTCTGTCACAAATCAATGGCCTGTTGAATGAAAACAACCGCACCCTGGATCTCTGCTTTGTGAGTGCTCGTGATACAGCTCCTTTCCTCTCCACGGCACCCGAACCTTTAGTCAAGGAAGTGCATCATCACCCTGCTTTAGTTATCGGGATCGAAAATAATACTGTCCATGATTTCATCAGCACTTCAAACGTTGTGTTATATGACTTCCGTAGAGCTGACCATCGCAATATTGCCCATGTGCTGTCTAACTTAGATTGGAAGCATATTCTAGATCCTGTAGACGTCAACATTGCTGCACAAACCTTTTCTCACGTCTTGTCATATGTCATTGACAGGAACGTTTCCAAAAAGATCATCCCGTGGATGACGAAAGATCTTCGCTCGTGGAAAAGAACTAAGAAGGCTGCTCTCAGAAGATTTACTAAATTCCGCACACTGCCGCTGAAATGCTATTATGTCAGACTCTACCACGAGTATACGCGGTTAAGTCGTCTCTGTTTTCAACGCTATCAAAGGAGGATTCAACTTCTGGAACTTCGTTGATGAGCAACGCTGGGAGATCGGCTTATCCTCTTCCATGATTTTTAATGGTGAAACTGCTGGCAATCAACAAGATATTTGCAACCTGTTCTCAGCTAGTGTGTTTGAAGACGAGCAACTCTTCGCTAATCTCATTACTTCCGCGGCCAGTAATGTTCCTTTTTTTAAGTCTTTATTTGTTCCAAATTCAAAATAAATTACATTTCATTTTAACCTATGTGCTCCAGTTACTACAGTAACTTACCAGCCTTAATTGCTATGATATATATCTAAGTATTTTTACATTTTTCCTGCCTTGAATATTTTAAACAGGTTTTTTAAAACCTGCATGTCAGTATAACAATTTACATCTTAAAACTAAAAACTAAAACTAAATCTTATCTAAGTGTTCCATCCAAGTAATCACGATGTTCCATTCAAGTAATCGCAGCAACCTACAACTGCGACCAAGATGGAAAAATTAGTGATTCGAAGTGTACATGTCAACCTGAATAAACGTATAGTTAGAAGCACTCAAACTTTCTTTATTCTTTGAGAAGAACACTTAAGTTGGCGACGAGGATTTTTCTGGAAGCTCACAAGTTCAAGAAATTGCAGAATCGAACCGAGGAAGGATGGCGGCGACAAACGAAGAACTCCAAGCAGCTTCTCCAGCGGTTGGCCGTTCCACAAGCAACGAACCCAGAGCAAGTTTTGGAATCCCTGTCGACGAACATCAGCGAGTTCTGCTTCGATCCGGAGAACGGCACCACATTCGAAAAATGGTTTGCCCGTTACTCGGATTTGTTTGAAAGCGACGCACGAAGTCTGGACGACGCAGCAAAAGTTAGGCTTCTGCTCCGGAAGTTGGACACGTCCTCTCACAGTCGCTACGTCAACTACATCCTTCCGAAACTACCAAAGGACGTCACGTTTGCCGATACCGTCAAGACACTCACAAAGATCTTCGGCAGACAGACCTCCGTATTCCACAAACGCTACCAGTGCATGCAGCTACTCAAGTCCGAGGCCGACGACATAATCACCTATGGCGGAAAAGTTAACAGGGTATGTGAAGAGTTCGAGTTCCAGAATTTGAAGATTGATCACTTCAAGTGCTTGATTTTCGTCTGTGGTCTCAAAGCACCACGCTACGCGGACATTCGAGCAAGGCTTCTATCCCGGATTGAATGTGAAACGGCTGATGCTCCGGTGACAATTCAAACTCTGATCGACGAGTTCCAGCGGCTCGTCAACATCAAGTCAGACACTACGATGATCGAACATCCAACAAGTTCGAAGAATTCGGTCCATAGCATTTCGGAGAAGAAATCCGGAAACCAACATCGTCCACTGAAAACGGAAAGCAAGTCCACTC